GCCGCTGGCTGCTGCCAGGCCATATCTTGATTAAAATCAGTGCCTCCCGGTACTCTCCTTTCTTCCGTGTCTCCTCGTTTCGCCAGCCCCCTTTCGTCGCGCGATGAATCCGGTTAGTCTCGTTAACGTCCTAAGTCACCGAGTCTCTCTCCCTCTCGCTCGTTCTCTGTTACTTTCTCTTCACGGGGAAAGACCGGCATCCGGAGCAACGAGGAAGCCACCACCTGGAGCCTTCCGGCGTAGCTCGCGGTCGAACGCAATATCGGCGGCGACGGTGGCCCGATATCGGGTCGACCGCATTGCCGGCGATCTGTACTCTCGACGAAAGTGAAAGCGCATGTAGTGGTACGCCTGGCGCAACCGGTCGTGTACTGACCGGGTCAGGAATATATCTCTCCGGTCTCCGTTAATTCCGCGCATGGGTGGGCGCGATCGAATGTTTGGCTCTCGAGTACTCGGGGATCGAGAAACCGCTCGTGTAAGTTGTTGTTATTGTTGTTCTCTCGTCGACTCTCCGGACAATCAAGATGAAATTCAAAGATTCGATATTCGAAGAAATTCCAAGGAAACAAAATTGCTCGCGAGAAACACCGATCTCCTCGTGCGCGTTTCCCCGCGATCAAGACGATGGCAACGCGCGCGACAGTGATATCATCGAACGTCACGCTGTGCGGCGCGTGCGACGGTTCCGACCCACCGAGTTAAACATACATTACGCATTACGTAGGCGCGCGCCAGCGCGCTTTGTCGTGCGCGAAGAGTGAATTAGTCCGGACGATCCTCGTTGAAAGCACGCCGGAGTACAAAGGATCTATCGGATCCGATCTGGATCCGACCGACGGAGATCCGCGTCGGACGTTATGCGCTATCGAGGCCTTGCACGAGCGCGACGACGACGACGATCGAGAACGTCGACGTATATTTGCCGCACACGCAATATGCTTTGTGTCGGAGATGCCCCGGGCCAAGGTATTCCCCGGTCCCTAAGACCCCTAGCTAAGATCAATGTGTGTCGGGGGACTACTCGAAGGACCTATGCGCAATCCGGAAGCTGATCGCCGGAGAGAGAGAGAGAGAGAGAGAAAGAGAGATGAGTAAGAGGGAGGAGTATCGACAAGTGGATGCTGTTTACCGTGCTCAAATGTTGACCGAACTCCCTCGACCGTCCTTGCACCATATCATGCTTTCAGACGAACCTCCCTGAGCTAACGGCGAGTTTCGATTTGTTCGAATAGGCCAGTCAAATGAGGCGAATCTCTTCTCTCGCATGCATCAACGTGGAGGAGAAATCGCTGGATTGAATTTTATATTTTATCCCGCGCGGTCCGCGAAAACGTCGAAACGAGTGGACGGGAAATATTTCGAATCCGCGTTACGGGCGGATTACATACAACTGAAAGGAAAAAAAAAAAAATCGACGTCGAGTAAATACCTTTTGGAGTACGGAGGTTACAGGCGATGAACGTGACCTTGATTGATGCTCTTAGGGCTGATTTCCTTTCTTTACCGGATCGGTAAATTTGTTATGTTGCGAGATGGAGATGGCGTTCTGCCACACAAACGAGGCGAACTTTCTCGCGGATTGGAATATGAATAAAATTGGCCGGTACGCTTGTTTGAAATTCCCGTTTCGGCTGAAGCGGCAGAAGAAACCGGAACTTGTTCGCGTTCACTCGAGTATGATTCGTCGTTTAATAACTCGCCGTATCGTGGGGCTCGCTGCACTGCCCAAAGCCGATATTTGGCCCGGATGTCGGGCGAATTCAAACTCCATCATAGCGCGCGATCCTTTGACTCATTCGGGAAACTGCGCTACGGCTTTAAATCGGTCTGGCTGCAGGTCGTCGACTGTCTGAATAGACCGGGGAATATTACTCATATCGAAATTGGTACATGGCGATCACTTTGAATAATAGTTCTCGCTGAGATTAAAATAATAAAGCTGCATAATTAAGCGCGATACAATTAGCGAGTCTGAGAATGAGCTTTCATTTTGTTTATAGTCGCTACTCCGACTAACACTTATTCTAGTTTCAGATGAAATGACAATCGTAATCCCCTGAAAGGTCGATCCGAATTAAATTTCATTTTATTCCACCTGACTTTCGTTAAACCTTTCTGTGGAATATAAACGGAACGTGCATTTCGAAACTTTCGTCGATACTGTATTGAGTCTAAACGTCTGTATTTACATTGTATCCACGGTTTACCAAAAAATTCTAGTAGGTGGAAACAGGACACGGTAAATTCCGGTGTTTACCGTCCCGGACTTTATTCAATGGAATAAGCTAGTAAAAACTATGGAAAGGACTAATATGCAACACTAAAATATATTTATATAGTTTTATGTAAAAAAAGATCCTTGCATAAATTATATTAATTAGTAAATAATTTCCGGAAAATACCAGTTTTTACCACTGACTGATTTTTCGGACTTTATCCGAAAAATCTAGAATATTGCCGACCCTACCTGTATCTCACCGATACGCGGTTTCGCGGAAATAGATTGATGATTAAGACGTCGTTGATGTCGGTCTTTAGGGATGACGCGCACCCGGAGGCTTTTATCCTCTCTCCCCCTCTTTCTGTCGCACCCCGTTCGCTACTTTCGCGCCAGACATCAGCGAGGGACCCGCGCGCGCGTTTCTTCCATGTCGCTGCTCGTTCCTCCGCCTGCGCCTCCCGCTCGTAGGAATAGCGGGGCAGGATATTACGGCGATGCGACAATGAACGCAGCGATCGCTATCTGCGTGCGTCGGGGGAGGAGGGGGGTGCCGAGCCACCCTCTTTGCGGACACGCGCGCGTGGGCGCGCACGCACACACGGATGCGCCGGCCGTATGCCTACACGGATACATGAGCCACCGGCTAAACTACCCCCGACTGGTGCCTAAACCAGTTCCTCCCCTTTTATTATGGGCCACGACGGTTATTGGATTGTACCGTGCTATTTGTTGGCTGCCACGCTAATGGATCCATAATCACCGGGACGAATTAACGCGCTACGACGACGCTGACGGGCCGCTACTTTAAATACAGCAAATGCTCGGCACGCCACTTACCCGACGTAGACGCGGCGGCCGTGAATGCTTAAACAATCGGCCGTCGGGGAGGACTTTCGGACTTGCTGCCTGCTCTCGGGATTCTCTCGGTGCCAACGCGACGTCCCTTGGGCGAGAATACGAATTAAACGGTGTAACGATGTACACCGTGTCTTCTGCATTTTGGGCTCGTCTGTCTCTCTCTCTCTCCCTCTCTCTCTGTCGTCAGATCAAAAAGCGCGTGAAAATCAGATCCGAATATTGCGGAATAGCGAGAGCAAGTAAATTTTGTTCATTTATTGTTCTATTTTCGTTCATGGATTCACATTTTGCGTATCTTTCGTGTGCAGTAACTGCAAGAAAAGCGTTACATTTTCATTGGAATCTTAAGTAGTTTTATTCTCTAGTTACTACTACACAGCCAAAAAACATGTACTTGTGTTGAAATTCTCGTTAAAATTTTTGCGTTAAATTTTTAACGTACCGTGTGTTAATTTGACATATTGTGTTTATGTTATATAAATATATTTTATGTTGAGTCGATATTCAACACGTATACATAATAAAATAACACTTTTTTATATACTTCAATCTCGATTAACATATCATGGATATTAATTTTATATTAATTTTTGACATAATAATTGTGTTACTTTTCGATATATTCACTTTGTGTTAAATTAATACAAAAAATTGTGCGGACCATTTAAGACATGCGAAATGTGTTAAATTTAACACAAAACTTTTTACTGTGCAAGACATGCGTCTTGATGACATTTTCCCAGAATGGATTCGGGATACATAAATCATAACGGGAAGTACGAATAACGAGATACACTATCCGAGAACCGCCGCGTCCTTTATCTCGTAATTGCCTAATTCAATATTTCTCATATTCCGCACGAGAATCGAAGGAGCCGACTGCGAGGAGTGGAGTTTCGGTCCGCGCGAGTTCCCCGAGGATTAAGGGCTAAGTCCTAATCCGCTAATTTCATTCGACCTTTCCGCGCCGAACCTGCGCTATTACCCTCCGAACGGCTAGCAAGTTCCCCGCGCTTCGGCTTTTAAACTCGCACCACGCCGCGCGGAGCGATCACACCAGGGCCCTCGAGACCTCGAAGTCGGTTGTATAAACGCCCTCTGATCTTTACTGCCGTGGCTGGATCTTCCGATATACATATATATTTACAGCGCCCGGCTTTACGGGCCTGTCGAGCAAATGAAATGAAATTCATGCAAATCATGGAACCGCGCAGCGCCGCTCCGCGCCGCCGGTTTCCCTTTGCGCTGTCGACGCGGCATCGCATCGGTTTTGTATCGGGGCGGCGATGCGTCCAACCTACATTACGAGGGTGAAACGTACTTCCCCCTGTCGGTGTCCCGGTCGTTGCTCGTACGGATAAAATTCACGAACCGGTCCGGGATATCTTTTGAGAAGCTTTAGTTAAGTCGCACGATCATGTCGAACTCTCGGAAAATATGCGATATCTCTGTAGACTCGTTGCTTTGAATAAAGGTAGAAAGAGGGGGACGGAAAAGGCTGGAAAAATGTGAATTCCTACCCGAGAGAGCGAGCCAGCGATAACGGTCGAGCCGAGTTTCGCTCGGTTATTATTATTCCGTTCATCGCGCGTATTATCGCGATTATTTCATTCGTCGAAATTTTAGCTACACCGAGGAGAGAAAAACATTTTATATTTGTAACTATAATCATCATCGTGGAAGAATTATAATCAGAAGAACCATTTTTAAATGTTATTACAGTGTCAATGATAATAATCTTACGTGTACATTGTTACTACTATTTTTGTGATTAAAACTATAAGGAAGGTACAGTTTTTCTTCTCGTATCATTTTGCAAACAAATTATATCAGCGACAAGTTCCGAAATTTCCAAGTTTGATATGTTGCGAGTAAAATCTTAATATACATGATATGTATGTTTTACTTCTGTTCGCAGGTTATGCCAGAAACGGACCCAATTATTACGGCAAGTTGATCGGTACCTTACAAAATTACGCGCACGGCATCAAAGGTAAAGCATACGCCGTGGACGATGCGACGATATTCATCAAAGGATTCTGCTACGACGGTACCGGGCCGGACGCTTACTTCTGGGTCGGGAACAGCACTATGCCCAGTCCCGAGGGTTACATCGTACCTTATCCCGAGACCGATAAGGAGAGGTAAGACCACTGACGTCGTTTACATTTATAGTTTCATACTTTCCACACGTATTCTCTCACGAAAACCAAAAACTAGCCCGACATTCCCATTACATTCATCTTTCGTTCGTTGATCGTGAGGAATTTTTTTCAAATCTGACAATCGGACGATATTATATTTAACGTTAAATATACATGTGCGTATACACTTGGGGATGGGGATGGGAATTTTATATATCCATATGTGTATATTATATATATTATATATACATATAAAGGACACTCATCGTGCGCGAGTTTCGGTATCGTATGCTGAAGCGGGCGGGGAAGCAACCGAGTAGAAACGTAATAAAGTGCTCGCGCAGATGAAATCCGAACGAGATTGGCGTATAATTCCCGTTTTATTAACTGCACTCTCTAACGCGCGCGCGCGCACGCCACTCACTCGGTCGTTCGGNTTTTCCCCCCCCCCCCCCCTTACTCCGCAGTCCCTTCACCGCATACACGGGACCACGCGTGTTCCCCTCCGCCGCGCTCACAACGGACTCTTTGAATTTCATTTCATCCCTTGGTTACGGAGTACCGCGCGGTAGGGCCGCGAACCCTACCGCTTCCTATCCCTGTACCCTTCCTTTCGGCTTCCTGCGTCCCTGACCGCGTACACAAGGCGCCTACGTCCATTCTCTCTCTCTCGATTGCGCTCTCAGGAGACGCGCGAAACGCGGACTCGCGTCGACGATATCGGGAGGCGTGAAATCGATCGTTAGAGAACTAGGCGTCATTGTACGCGCGCGAACGATGCAATCTGCAAACTCTTCCGGAGAAATCTAGGTGATTAAGGGTCCTTTCTATTTTGTGAACGAAACGCATTTCTTTGTGATTTTTATTCCGGCAAAGTAAAGAAGATAGATAAACCATTTTCACCATATCATATTTCTGCGATCTTTGACATCATTTAAATTTTCGTCATACGAAATTAATTATATCGAGTAAGAAATTCATATTATGTTTTTCTTCAAAATTATGTAGAGAAAGAAAAAGCGATTTTTTGATCCTGCAAGGTAGAAAGGTCCCTTAACGGGACGACATTAGGAAAAAAACCGTGAAATTCGCGATGCGTGCGAGAACACCGCGGATTCATCTGATTACCCGTTTAAATATCATTTCGCTCGACGGGGGACGGGGAATGTACGAGCTCGGGCGGCGGAAAAACGTAGGTTTCATCCGTTATCGTCCGACGAGCGATTCCCGCTCGCGTTGTTTTTACAAATAATAATTCTCGTCGCGCGCTCCGTGGTGGGAACACAGATCACGTTGAAACACTTATAAACACACGAATCGCTGCTACTTTCTGTTAATAGTGACCCGCAAGTACTGGGAGCGTACAACTATACAGACATCATCCTAAGGTTACCCGGCGGAAAGCGCATACGAGACATCAAATGGCTGAGCGTCTGGTGCAGGAGATTCACGGTGAGTGAAACGCAATCGTCAAACGGACGATTCTTGATATATCTTGTACCAACTCCTCCTTTTTCTCTCACGCCGATCGTGCCGAAACGGAATTAGAGATTCCCGAATCTCCCTTCTCGTTTTGCGTGATTCTGGAGAATTCTCTCGCGAGATGAGGCGCTTGAAATTTTGAAATTTTCCCCTTTGGAAAAAAACGCTACATGCTGATAATTCGGTATTCGCGAAAAGTTCGTCGTTATTTTCGACGGAGCGAATTTCTATTTCTGTGTTTGCGCGCCACGTAATTTCTCACGGAGTTACTACTCGGAGGCGAGAGACGCGCGAGACATAAGACATTTCTCTCGCGCGCAGCAGAAACGCTCGATATATCGCACGAGGCGTTTTATTCCAAACGCCACGATGCACGGAGAATAGAGATAACTTGATTTTTGAGGAGGTCCAGGGAAGCTCTATCGGACGTGCATTCGGGGTCAATGGTGCGTGTGAGATGGATACGTGGAAGCCGGAGTCTCTATATGTATATATATATATATATATATATATATATATATATGTAGGAGGCTTGTCTGTGTATGCGTGCACGTGCGTACACACGTGTGCGGGTGGCGTCCTGCTCTTTCCTTTCGGGCTTTTTCCTCGCTTTCTCCATTCGGGTGCACACACCGGTCTAAGCGCGCGTGCGACTCGGTCGCGTCTTTATCTTGCCGGTGTATCTCTTTCGCGCCTGTGTAGGCGTGTAAACACGTGGCATCGGTGACACTAATATTGATATACAACCTCGCATGTGTGAACGCTTAGAGAAAAACCGTTGAAATGTCTTCTATCCGTTTTAACACTTTGCTTACTTCGCTTCGGCGTGGGAGAGTCAGAGAAAATGCTCTTGGAAAAACGTCGCGAATTACGATGTCACTGGCTGACGGCCTACACTGAGAGAAAAAGATTTCCTCAAATTTAATCAGTTTTATTGCATTCCGAACAAACTAATACTTCGATTAATAAGTACGATCGTTAGACTTTTCAACGAATATGTGTCTTTATTTTAAATAAAGAAATTAGTTCGAAACGAAAGATAATTTTCTCATAAAGAGATTATTCGTTTTATTTTACAAATTTATTGTAACTAAGTAATATTTTTATTTGGTACAAAGATATTATTTCGAATAATAGCGTTCTTTCTGTTAAGTTAATAGAGTCTTCTTGAATGAGACAATAAAATTTTTATTCAAACAAATAATACTTCGTACGAGTATACGTTGTTTTTGTGAAACAAATTTTAGTGAAATAAATAAGAAATATTAAATCTAAAGGAACCTTTTTCTCTGTGTACGAGCTACGGATGGCTCTCAGTATATCGAAAGTATTCAGCAAAACATTTTCAAGCTGCGCACGATTCCAGGCTCTCTCCGCTACTTTTTACGCTCCCACACGTCTTTCTCTCTCTCTCTTCCTTCTCTTACGCAGACTTCTCTTCTTTTTCCCTTTCGTTCGTGTTTCACACGGCTCACTTGATTCTTCCTCTCACTCGGCCATTCCGTCTCTTCTCATCGGAAATTATACAAATTATAACGTGGGTACAGCCTTTGTGGGTGAATTCTACCCTCTCTCCCAGCAGGTGGAGACTCGTCGCTTAAAAATCTCGGCGCACGCACGGCCCGGTCCACGTTTAACTCGCGGACTATCCTCAGTTTTTTCCTTTCCCCCTTTTTCACCGTGGACACACACACATACGTACGTACATGTACGAATCTAACGACACACAAGCGCGCGATATCGCGCAGCCTCTAGGCAGGGTAGAAGCGGTTTGAGGCGAGCATATCGACGGTAGAGAGCAGAGCTTTTGCTCTTATATTAGGAGGGCTTTAATATCGAAGTCTGAGGGGTGCTCCCGCACCGTGACAACCCTCCATCAGACACGCTCTGTCACCGCAAAACGCGCTGTCCGCCGCCTACGGTCCATTCTACCGGGTGTCCCATTACGATCGCCGCGAGTCCGGGGGGTTTGGCATAAATCGCTCTCGTTTATGGCTGCCCCGCCGATCGACGGGCGTAAAGCCCGTCGTTGGGGGGTGGCGAAGGGATTTTACGGCGACGGGTGTATCTTATGTGTCTATATCGGCCCGCGAAAAGCGAAGAGGGATTTTAAGTAGCGGGGAGGACGAGCGTTCTTGTTACAACGAGGCGAACAATCGCCTATTAGCGGCGGCCGGTGGATTGATCGATCGACGGACATCGTTGATTATGTCGAGCGTCGCGAGAAACAAATGAGAAAGATATTATCTCGAGAATTAAATGTGTTCATCGTAGGATGATAATACTGTTACAAACCTGGAAACTCTCTCCGGTAGGTGAAACGCTGATCGTGTGAAATTAATTAAACCAATAGAATTGCGCGGTTAACGATGCTTAATACAAATTTCTATGCCTAATATAACATGTATTTATAATCTACATAGTATAAACATTTTGTGTTAAAATCGGTCTTTGTTAATAAAATTAAAATGCATAATTAAAATGTATACTATCAGCGCCACGTGTTCTCCTACGTTCCATGTATCCACATGTATCCGCGTGATCGCCGCAATGTCACGAAGCGGTTAATACGTTTAATTTTCCGTACCTATGTACGCGCGCGAATCTTGTTTGAAATATTTACCCAGTGGTCTCGAACAACGATATCCGTCCAAAGGGAGAGAGAGGTGGAGACAGAAACGCGATGTATACTCTCGATAAAGCGAAATATCCCCTGATTATACCCGGTTACAAAGGGAAATCTTACGACATGTATCATTGGAAATGTTTTTCCCCGAAGAAAGTCCTTCTTTCACGCGCGTGCTTCTCTCCCTGTGTGATTTCGAAGAAGCTGATCTCTCCTCGCTCTCTCTCTCTCTCTCTTTCTCCCTTCTGCAGGATGGCTGCTATTACACAACGTGCAAGGGGTGGTGGTGGTGGTGGTGTAGGTTTTGCTTGGATATCTGGTAGACAGGAGCTGTCTGTCAGTCAGCGCTCCCTCGCGTTATTCTCTCGCAGGGAGGATGTATTGTCAGGGTAAGCCTTCTTCTCGCTCCTTCTTTCTCTCATGTCCTTCCCTCGTCCTCCCTCTCTGTCACCCCTCTCGAACCTTCCCGTCCTCTCCTTCGCCACCTCGCCCTCCTCCTCCTTGTCCTCCTCTCTCCGAGCTCTCCGGGATCTCCTTCCGCTTCCTCTCAAAAGCCCACCCCTTCGGCGTCGTATCCTTCTTCCTTCAAATCCGTCGGGCTTCCTTTCAAAGGAACAGAGATATCCTTTGGCGATATCAAACCGCTCAATAGACCACTGATTCAGGTGGGATTCGGTAATTTTTTTTCTCCGTCTATCCGTCCGACTACGCGCGCGCGCGGGACCGTCCGAATCGCGGGCAATCGCGCCACTTTTGTGTGTGTATCCGCACGCAAGAACGGCACGCGAGAGGGTGGAAACAACTCCGTCATCCCGTTGCCGACGATCTTATCCAACGGTGTTCCTCTCTTGCGAGAAAATTCGAACCGTTAAAGCCGGTGATCGGCTTGTCGTCCCGTATCGTCATCTCTCCTTCTCCGTTGTTTTCCTTTCTCTACCCGCCACTTCACGATATTTCATTCTTCTTCGATGACTCTTACCCGCGATTAATCGCGTTCCTCTTACCGCGTCCGTCGCGCGCCGTGAACGCATGAGCGGAATGCCATCGTGCACGGAGATTCGGAGATTCGAAATCTCACCTCCTCTTTTACTTATAAATGTCACCTGCCGAAAGAAGGAAAAAAATAGGGAGAGAGGAAATGTTGCGAATATCCGGTGTATAATAATTGAAGATTTAATGGGCGCTGCACCGCGTTGCGAGAATGTAGATTGAACGACTCTGAGATATATTGTTCTCCATTTCCGCACGCGAATGTTTCGCACTTTGCACGTAAGAACGAATACCATCTGAAAAATAACATGTGTGAAGCTATCATGTCACATTCGTGTGATACATTTTGATATTGCTTTTCTCAATCTTATTTTATCCGTAAATTAAATTTATCCCACAAATAGAGTATTCCAATATGATCAAAACGAACTTTTCTGTTCCCACCTGCATATTTATACACATTCCTTATATTATTTTATTCTTATTTTGTATTTATTTTATTTTAATTTTATATAAGATTTCCTAAACTGGTCTCGGTTCTCGTGGTGTGCAAGTAGTACGGGTGAAACTGAGCAGAAAAGTCATGCGGGTATCGTCGGTCGGTCGATTATAGCTTTTTTCACTTTCTGGCTGACCTATGCGTGACGCGAACCACTACGCGATTACGCGTCGTGTGTTCATCGTCTCTCGCTGGGTGATTCATTCTGTGCATTCGATTATAGCGTCGGTTGTAAGCTCGTTGTAAAAAAGTAGATGCCGAGTTATATTATCGTCATCAATTGTTACCGTCCATCAGTCAGCGTGCATGCGCTCATTATTAGATCGCGCGCGTTACATCATCAGGATGTAATAATTTTAGATCGCATGCGAATTTGTCTCGAGACGGTCTCTCTATTTTGATAAAATACGATTACGTTATGATGATGTCTGATCTCAAAGTGAGTCTATTGTATGCGACGACTATGGTTCGCTTCCTTCTCTACCTTTTTTTTTCCTTTGCCATCTTGTCATCGAACTATCTCGTCTGTTCTCGAGTCCAACTTTTTCCTCCGGCTTTATGCGCCTTCACAGTCTACCCCCTTCCCTCTCCTCTCTTGACGTGCTCTCTTTTACATTTGGTCTATTTTCGCATTTCATATTCGCTACACTGCACTCGCGCTACTCTTTCTTTTTCCTTCATGTTCTATTTCTACACATTTATTACGATCACAGATCGAGAACAGATGTATCTATAAACTCGCTGCGCTCTACTCTCGTCATTTAACATAGTTTCCGCTTTGTTCTTCCCCTTGTTATCCGCTCTACGTGAGGTGCATGGTATTTTCGTTATATGTGTACATCATTATTTCTTTTT